GTGTGATCACTTCGGGCCTTCGGCGTGACGAGCGAACGCTTTAACCACTAGGCTACCCCACAGCCCCTTGACACGATTGTACATAATTTGATTTGAGAATGTTAAACGCCAGCACAAACGTATACCCAATTGGCTATCTTCAGAAACAGATTCATTTTAGTGTAAAGGGGTACTAGCTATGAAAATGTTAATTGGATCACTAAGGGGCAGTGATGGCACCGGGTGTTGGCAAAAGGCATGCCCTGCCCAACCGTAGCACCCGCCACTCACAGAATATGGCCTCTGAACTCAGTAACCCCATTTGGGTTTTAGCATGTCCCGGAAGGAAATAGGAGAACATAGTGTCTTGTTTAAATGGGCCGTCTAGTCTGTGATAGCTTAAATGAAAGATCAGAATAGTACTTTATTGCAACTATTTTTGTCCCCAATCTACCTGCATGTGGTATGATATGGCTGTTTCGTTAAAGGCTGTTTCGTGTGGCTCGATGGCCACTGTTGACAGTAGATACCTCCAAATGAATGGTGGATCCAGGTGAATTAAGTGACAAGTGGTGGGTTGGTCAGCATGCAACAGGAAAACAGCCTATGGTCGATATTAATCATAGTGGACTGGCATGTTACTGTACATAGCAAAGAAGGAAAATAATTGTGGTCTGGGTCCGTATGCCTAAAAGTAATTGTAACTGAGCTTCGCAGCAGTGGTAGCAGTGGCGGCTTGTAGTAAACCAGATAATCAAGTGATGGATGTCCCCAACATTAACAAATAATTTGAATTACGATACTAATTAGTAAAGTACAATGTTTGGAATAAAAATCGCCAGTATTTGTATTATCGCAGCGGAGACGTTAAACAAATGACAGCTGTATAAATGAGTGAGTGAGTATGGTTTTACGCCGCTTTTAGCAATATTCCAGCAACATCGCGGCGGCGGACATCAGAAATGGGCTTCACACATAGTACCCAAGTGGGGGATCGAACCCGAATCTTCGGCGTGGCAAGCGAACGCTTTAACCACTAGGCCCCACTGTATAACTGAAACATTCTACATCAAATAGGGTGTTGTACATGTCAGACAGGAAAAACGTATGCATCGCAATATACATGTAGTGAGTGAGTGAGTGAGTTTGGTTTTACGCCGCTTTTAGCAATATTCCAGCAATATCACGGCGGGGGACACCAGAAATGAGCTTCACACATTGTACCCATGTGGGGAATCGAACCCGGGTCTTCGGCGTGACGAGAGAACGCTTCAACCATCAGGCTACCCCACCGCCACCAATATACATGTAAAGCTGTAGCAATGTGAATATGGTTTTGTACACGTTGAACATTGGACTACTGTTTGAGTAAACAAATACCACTACACATATTGCAATGTAGTTGATAATCAAAGAACTAGCATATACATCGCCTGTTTGCAGGAAGCAAAGACCGTTGTCTGATGACGAGCCAAACCAGCCTGACAGTGCCTGGAGCCCCTTAACGCTCCTCAATGTGTGTACATATTTCAACTTCCATTATATTCTTTAAACGCCCTACAGCATGTTTAAAAAGCTCACAATACATTAGCCAGGTCAATGGATCTGTGCGCTCGAGTGTAATTCTCAGCTTCCTGAGGAGTATGTAACCAATGTTACACAGAACAATGTGACTGTGTGATACATAACTAAAGAATATATGACCGTACACAACAGAGAGTACACATATACTAAAGAACTAATAAACTTTTGTTTTTGTACTCTTTTAACCATTACATATGAAAGACGTGTGGTTAGTCTTAAGCGGAACACCAAATCCATTCTTAAAAACTAGTGGTTAATTAATACCGAGCGATAAAACGTTCCCAGCCAACGAAACTACATATATATATGTGTGTGTGTGTGTGTGTGTGTGTGTGTGTGTGTGTGTGTGTGTGTGTGTGTGTGTGTGTGTGTGTGTGTGTGTGTGTGTGTGTGTGTGTGATCTTTAAATATCATTTTACATGGCAATGCAGGTGTTTCCATTCGTGAGAATCAGAATATTTTCAAATGTGTCCATACGTATATAAACAGAACTAAACGATTTTAATTGTAAAGTGATTGTAAAGTATCGCTTTATTCTTTACTCTCTGCACTTTTTCTGTTCCTCACATTCTGTTCACGTATACTGCACCTATGCAACTGCTGAGAAAGGGCTTTTCGAAGTTGGACAACTTATGCCCAGTCCTTTTCTCTCATAAAAATATCTTAAACTAAACTAAACTAAAATAAACTAAACTGATCGTCAGTATTCGTGTTGCAAACAATGAATACCATCTGGAACAAGAGAAGCCAAAAAGAACAAAACATTTAGAAAGAGGCAAGAAAAATAATTAAACCTATAGAAGCGCCCTCCAATCGCCGCTACATTGCCGTTCTCGCTCAAACTTCTGGCTGAACTGCAGTCATGTACGGGTATGATACGGGCCCTTTTTGACGAATTTGGATTGGACAGTTCTTACTATGTTTATATATTTTGGTATGACAGTTCTCGAAGTCCATATCCATCTAAATAATACATTTCTAACAATGCACGAAAATCTGAACGAACGGTACAAGTCAAAATACCGAATTTCTGAGGCCTTCTGGCCAGGGGGGTGGGGTGGGGTGGGGTTTTTAAGAATAAGATCCAAATATGTAACAATATCACTTTTCTCCTTAATTTCAAGTTCCGTGTGTAAATCAGTGGAAGGGAATTGGTTACTTGATGGTTATTGAACGATATTAGATCATCGATATACTGGAAGCTTACGTATAATTTGTTTTGATTTTGGTAATCCCAGCCCAAAATTTCGATTGATATGCATAAAGAAACATATTCGCAAGGAGGGGAGCACAATTGGTGCCCAATGGAAATGTTTTACTCCAACATGTCATCAGTGAGGGCGTCAAGTATTTCAAATATTGTTTTCTCAGTAAACTTCATGTCACATTTGCTTTCATTTTTACAAATTGACCCGAACCTCTCAAGAAAGATACGTATGTATATATTTAAAAGACATGTATTCTAAATATTTAATTCATATGGGTATTAGGTGAGGTGAGGTGAAATTGGGTTTTACGTCGTGCTTGAGAATATTTCGCTCATATGACGACGTGCATGCGTGTGTATGTGTATGTGCGGCTGCTTGTACTAGCCCAGACTTCAGCTGGTTTTATAGTGCTAGCCCACTGAGATACCATGCCGCAGTGAAGCATGAATACCCCACTCAGACACATTATACTGACTCCGAGTCGGCCAGTCCTTGTTGTAGCCATTAATGCCGAGCGCCAGGCAGGGACCAACAAGTACCATATTTTAACGTCTTTTGGTATGACGCGGTCGGGGATCGAACCCGCGACCTTCCGCTCTCCGGGCGGACGCTCTAACCACTACACCACGGAGGCGGTCCCTATGGGTATTAAGAATCCAAATATACCAAGGCACTAATCGCTGCCTATAGAAGCGACGTTGGTGGGAATCGGATGGTAAGGTCCGGTTCTTGTCTGATTTCGTGTTTTATTTTCGTTACCTGTTGCTAGTACTGACTTCTTTTCACATGGGGATGCCTACTTCTTCCCACTTGACATTCGGATGTCGTCTACTAGTCTATGAGTTCAGTGTTTCACGCGTTCTTTGTATAATCTTTTGATGCAGTTTGGTTAAGTTTCACTTTTGACAACTTGTCCTAAATTTCTGTGCTCCAAGGATCAAGGGGTGAGTGAGTTGAAATGTTGCAGCTCATTGGCAATATTATAGGTGTATCGAGATGAGAACAAGTTCATTATTATTAAATACTTGACAAAGGACAGTAAACATTGAGTAAAGTATCACAGTTTAGGGTCCAAACAAAATATCAGTAGATTTGTAGATTTGTACAAATATAAAGTCGGCCATAGGCCACTAGCAGCCAAAGCTAGACCATCTTACTAGGGATCACGGGGACCAGTGGATCAAGGAAATAGTGTTTTCCTAAGTATAGATAGTCGTGTACAAAGGAGTAAAATCTAATATAGCATAACTCAAGATGGTTCTTTTTCTGAACTTGCTAAGAAAAGGATAAAAATTATTAATATTGAGATTAATTCCACTTGCCTTCAATATTTTCTCTCAATAAAATGAATGTCCTTCATTATATTATAGATTATGGTTAATCTTTGAAACAGGGAATTGGTGTTACATTTGCTGTGCCTCGCAATCTTTGGTCGTCTTTTTATGGAGATTAGGAGTACAAGAAAGGAACTGGCATCAATAGAAGCATGGACATGGCAACAAGTCCAGTCGTAAAGGTGATGATAGTGATTTATAGTTTTAACATATTTCTTCTTCAGTTCCTGTTATGTCACCCATACCAAGTTTCTTTCATCAAGGAACTTTGTAGTGATGCTTAGATATAATGGTCTATGTCATCCGAGTCCTTGTCACTGGGAACAACCTTTTCATGCGGCGCAGCCAGACTTTGTATGACAGATATCTCTGGCCGAATGAGTTTCTTCTAATTTCTTGCCACATATTCAATATGGCATTCCACCAATGAAAAGAACACGTACCATTCTGAAGACATTGCTAAGCTTATGGCAATTGACTAGTATGTGCATGTGTTTATGACAGATGCCACCTGGGTGCAGGATACGCTGAAATATTCACGAACATATGGTATCATCGGTGTCAGTATTTGTTGTGATTCATGTGATAAACATATGATCATGATATAGTAGGAATCGTGCAGGCTTTCTGAAGGGCGTGGAAAGGGTTTCATCACTTTTATTCTATTTTCCTTTGGCCCATGTTCTTTGGTAAAAGATGTATACAGTAATGCTTGCATATAATGTTTGTTGTTTGTTGTTTATTTAGACCTTCTCACTTTTAATGTAGCAATATTCCATGAAAGGGGACACATGCGCTTCACACACGAAATCGTACCCGCTTCTTCAGCGTGACGAGCAATCGCCTGAACCATGAGGCGTCCCCACAGTCCAAAGAAAAAATGTAACAACTATAGTTAAGAAATAGCTGCTTTATTTAACTGCAAGACATCGTGAGACTGGTACCAGGTTACGTTTCAGTACCAGCGCTTCGCGTACCGATACAGCCGGTTGCATTTTCCACTGTATCTGTGGCCGACATAGGAGCGGCACCTTCGTGACTGGAAGAGGTCCCCGTACCCGCACGTTCTGCAGCGGCGCACACGTGTTCTGAAGCGACATCCACGCACACAATGTCCCCAGGGTCCCCACTTCCGAAACCCACATCCCGACCCACACGTGCCTTGCGAGTCTTGCCACGCCCATATATCCACTTCTGGCAGCTGTTTGCATGATCTGATTTTGTTCCTGTAACGCGCAAAGAGTGAGTGAGTGGGTATGTTTTACAATACTTCTAGCACAAAATCAGCACTATCAAAGCTTAGGACTCCAGAAATGAGTGAGTGAGTATAGTTTTAAGCCGCTTTTAGCAATATTCCAGCAATATCACGGCGGGGGACATCAGAAAATAGGCATCACACAATGTACCCAAGTGGGGAATCGAACCCGGGTCTTCGGTGTGACGTGCGGACGCTTTTACCACTAGGCCACCCCACCGCCCCAACAACAGAAATGGGCTTCATATATTATTACAATGCTGGTAATCGAACCCGAAGTCTCTTTAACCACTAGGCTACCCCACTACCCTGAAACACAAAGGATACATCACTTATTGGCAGCGAGATCTACACTAAAGTTTTGTAGGGAACATCGATACCGAGAAAAATGACCTTTACGCTTTGTTCAAATGAACCTTTGGAATGACGAGAAACTGGACATACTCACCCTGGTCCTGCCTTCTTGAAGGCGTTAGGTTGGATTATGACGGTGTCGGTGTTGTCGCAGACCACACGGGAGAGAGACGTCTTCCGGATCTCGGCTAGTTGTTCTGAGAGGGTAAAACCACATAAAACACTTTAGTGAACTACACTTGAAACACAGCTTCATCATTAGACCACCAAGGCAAACATCTGTGTGTTGAGAACAACATAAATACATACCTGGTGTAAACCCCACAACTGCATCATCAGTTTCATACCAGAATCTGTCACCAATCTTCAGCAACTCGAACTGACTGCCGACAATGCACGAGAAAGTGTTCCCCAAGAGTCCTCCGTTAAGAGGGCGTTCAGACACGCCTCCAGAGAACAGATCAATGTCATCGGGAGTTCTGAAACACAATTAGTTATATGATTACTATGTACAGCTCAATAACATTATTCCAGCAATATCACGGCGGGGTACACCAGCAATGGGCTTCACAAATTGCATCCATGTGGGGAATCGAACCCTGGTCTTCGGTGTGACGAGAGAACAGTGTTCAGCTCAATAAAAGAACAACATATACAGAAATGACTTTGAAACATCTATATTTTCTTCAGCTCTACAAGTAGACTGTCATTAATCCTGAAACGAATCTTTCCCTCTATTCTCTCCATTACGTGGACCAGACTCCATTATTTACAGATCGCCGCCATATAGCTGCAAAATTGCTGAGTGCGGCGTTAAACAACAACCAACCAACCAATCCTCACACATAGCAACATCCAATCCCCAAAATACAAGCAAGTTTCCACATCCATTGAAGTTAAGTGGATTGTACGATTTTGACTACAGCATGTGATTTTGAATACTTTAAAAAGTGATGGCATCAGGTGGGAGTGCGAATGGGCGCCGTTTTAAACTCATGCAGAGGCATGGCAAATATATCATGGGAACACAGTCGCACCTGTACAGCGCTCGCAGAGAAGCAGCAGCATCTTCTGGATGATCCACAAGACCACCAAGACCTGTGGAGAAGTTTTCAGCTTCCGGGAGTCCACACCACCTCCGCCAATCATTGTATCCTGGAAGACCATGGTCACGGCCACGCTGAATGTTTAAAGACATCAGATCCATGCTGTCACCTTCATCATCTGGGAAGAGGAAGTCTGTTAGTTCAGGGGTGATGTGTCTGTCCACAGAATTGGCCCTGTCAACCACCAGTCCTCTTGTTAATTGATTTATAGCATCACCATCGGTTGATAGGATGATGGATGTGTTTCCAAATGAGTCTCTAAGTTGAAGATCTTCTCCACCCTTAAATCTCCTGTTTGGACGACTAAAGAAGGATCTTATCATGGAGTGTCCAAAGCGGTAGGCAGCTGTAGCAAAGGCATTGTGAATACTTGCATCAACATTGGCATTGTAAATATTGACAGGACCAGTCGATGGACGGAGCCCAAACTTAAAAGAAGCTTGGGGGAGAGGACGAGAGAAAGGAAGTCGACGAAAGTGATGTGCTGCATCATAGGCTCCCACAATCCTCCTGGCTTCCTGGAACAGCCGCTCATCACCCCAGTGCGGGTTGATACGTGCAAGCTTCCTGGCCACTCTGTTGTGTTCCCGTAGCCAGATGGTGTGCATACTTGCCAGAGACATGTGTTCGTCCACTCTCTCGTCACCTGTACACAGATAATTTTAAGCTTCTGTTACTTTAATTTGCTGTTATTGAAGAACCGCTTTGTTCATCAGGCTGATTCAAGCAACCAATATTCTGTTCATGTAGGTACCTGTACAATTGATGCGATAATGAAAGTCTTCGAAAACTGGGCCATGTGTAGTTGGTGGAGGTACCTAATTGCCAGCACACAAAGTCTGCGATCTAACCCACTCAGCCACTGCTTCTTCTACAAAAATAATAGTCAGGATCATATACCCTATGTGTACCCTTCTAACAAGTGTAAATCGACACCGCTCCCATGGCGGAAACTATGGACAGGCATGCTGGGTTGACTTCCATCCAGGATTTGTGTATTGGAGAATGGTAGTCTCACTGTGAGGGTGTGGATTCGAATCCCGGATTGGACTCAGCCCAAACAATGTACTATCATCTTTAATGTACTGATAAAGCGTGGTCCCAAAAATATACCATTTGTTACATTTGACCATTTTATAAAAAGGCCTTTTGAATTCCCACGGATTAAAATTGGTCCTCAGTAGCCCATGTTTGCCGTAAGAGGCGACTAACGGGATCGGGTAGTCAGGCTCGCTGAGTTTGTTGAAACACGTCATCGTATCCCAATTGCGTAGATCGACGTTCATGCTGTTGATCACTGGATTTTCCGGAACAGACTCGATTATTTACAGACCGCCGGAATATAACTGGAATATTGCTGAGTGCGGCGTAAAACAACAACCAAAAAACTGAAAGGAATTGTGTATCCAATTACGTACCGGCCAAGAAACAAAAGTTTGGCCCAGTGAACGTGATGCAGTCCAAAACAGGATTTCTCGGGAGCAGTTCTGGCCTCATAAATGATGTCCTAAGCAAACCTGGAACATAGTCACAGACAGAAATATACCTATAAATATCTGCAAAATGGTAAATGGTGTGCAGTTCAGTTTTGATTGACGATGAGATGTTGCATATGTTGGCTTTGTATAATATATTAGACATAGTTTGATAACTGGGAGTCTCTCCTTAGGGGTAGCCAATATACTTTTTCAGACACGTATTATCTGAAGTTCATCATTTCGGGGTTAGTAACTAGTAGCTTTGGCGTCACAAATGATGTCCTAAGTAATCCTGAAACATGTCCAAAGAAACAATTATTTATATAAATATTTGTAAAATCGTAAATGGTGTACATTCAGTTTTAATTTCTGCAGATGATATGAGATGCTACAGAAGTTGTATTTTATAGTACAATAGAAGCCCAATTTGAGTCATTCCTACATATTTTTTCAGACACTAATTAATTGAAGTTCATAATTCCAGATGATTCATCTATTGAAAACAAAAAGTTCCATAAGCCGTTAGCCTCTTCATTTCATAACGTGTGATGTACAATCGAGCAAATCCTTCTTCAAATATTTCAAAGAGCATCTTGCGACTTTTGCTCAGCAGCTGCTTGATCCCGGTTACAGCTTTCCAAACTTATTAGGGTCAGGTCAAAGCCACTTTTTCCGGCAGCAGTCGCAAAAAGATATCCAAAATAATTCCCTCTTTTAACTTGTGCCATGTGATGTCGTGTATGTGAACAAATTAATGAGCCTCTCTATGCGTGTGTTTGCAGTGCCACCGGTGGGGCAGGATACGGATCACCCTTCTGATATCTTCTCCCCGAGAAAGTGATTAAAACATTCAGTGGGCTCTACTTCTACCAGAGATTAGTTAAGTTTGGAAATGGTTTTATCTTTTTCTTGTCAGTAATTATACGATGGGAGGACATGTGGTACCTTTCATGTAAGACCGGAGTTCGTCCTGCTCCTCTGGTGTTGAGCCATACACTTGGGATGCATCGACAAAGGCGGTCAGCTGGTTCAACTGCTCTCCTGGGGCTGACAAGAAATATTTGTGAACTGGTTAGGCAGCTCCTTCCACCACAACAAACGTAACTATACAAAGTCCACAACCACCTAACTTTTATTTTGCTAACCCCTACACCCCACAAGGCAAAACTATTATATTTCTATTATTCTACGTCTCTCCTAATCCTCACGTTTTTCATTTACACCTCTGCAACCATACTGCTACATTATTTTAATCTGACTACTGCTCCGAACTTTTGATCCAACTCTCTTCGTTTTGTCCCTACCATCAACGATCAACTAAAAATGCTTTTAACTACCATCATTCCCTGGTCCTCCCAACAAGCTATCACCATCCCATCATTCTCATGACAGCTTTTAAACCTACATCTTCAAATATGTCCTCTTCCACCATCTTCACCACTCATGCTACGCCCTTCGCGACCTCGCTTCAAATTCTTACCCCTTCCTATTCCACCTCGGTTCAAACCTTTCGCCTCCACTGCTTTCAGCATTTTGTCCTCCACTTCAATTCCGACAAGTCACTTCCTTCACCTCAGTTAACACCCTTCGCCTCCTGCACCTCAACCCACACCCTTTGCCTTCACCACCACAACTCAAACTTTTTTGCTCCTCCATCTGAGCACGAATGGTCAATTCGAGCCATCGCCTCCTTGCACTCAACTTTCCAAAGACTGCGCTCTAGGTGCAGTTATACTAACCCAAGTTACAGTCTGCGTTTGCTATCTGCACTGAGCGGACAAAGTTGAGACAGCTACGGTTGAACCTCCGGTCACCACCTGGAACTGGAATCGGAAAGCACTGGCGTCTGTAAGAAAGAAGTGGAGGGGTTATTGCGAATATCTTTGATAACTTCATGTTCAGTGGTAGAGACGACTGACATACTTGCTATTACCGCACGTAAATCAAATTAATTCATTACATATTAGCCTCTCAGACAACTATTAGAATACAAGTTGGATTATGTATTTATTTAATTACTATTCATCCTTCCTTATCCGCAGGAAACAGAGACGTTTGTTTGTTTGTTAGTTTCATCAGCATCAACTATTCACGTCCAACCATGACCAATTGACGAAGGGATTTCAAAGTTCAAATTGTTTCTGTTTACCTATCAGTGAGGTTGAGGCTGCTGACAGGGATGCCCTCAGGGACGTCATCTTCACAACAGATGATGGTGGCTCCATCAGCACCTAAATCACCGATTTGCTTATTACTGAATTGTTCATAGTCACAGCTACCATAAATTGGAATCATATTGAGTTTCAATGTTCTATATTGTTTGCACTCAGTATGTCAGTATAAACTCGAGCTGTAGTTTATATATACTTCTCTTCAAAAGTTTAGACTCACTTAAAACACTCACTATATATTATGTATATATATATATGGTTACATCGAAGATTGATATCTCCACTACTGTAACTTGGGGGAAGCAAATGAAAACATTATGCAGATGCATTGTACGAGGATCATGCATCAAATTGCTGTAAAGCATGTGCAAATATCGTGTATGTGAACAGATGCGTTGTGGTGTAAAGTTTTGTTAAGAATTCGCCATTTTTCACTGATTTCCATCATTTACTGAACTCATAACAATAATGTTTTCAACGTTACGAATGTGTTTTACAATACATCAGTTCATGTGTAAACAGTACCTTTAAACAGTATGGAATATTTTGCAAAATTTAGTTTAGAACAGTTGCCTGAAGTAAGTGGCTATACTTATACCAGTGAGTCTAAACTTTTCATGAGACGTCTATTTACAACTTCAACTGACCTCGTTCAACGGCGGTGCTGGTGAAGTCATGATCCAGGAATTGAGCCCACTGCATGACCATGTGTGTGACGTCACTCAGTGACGTGGCGATACAAAACAATATTTTGAAACGGGTTCAGGATTCAGAGGATAGGATGTGTGGAGAAATCAAATCAGTCAAAGAGGACATAAAATATCTCAAGTCTGACATCACTATTCTAAGGATTGAAATTAAACAAGAACAAGATATACTTAGAGTTGATATGGATGTTCTGAATGACAGGGTTATAGATACAGACAACTACCCATCTGAGTTAGAGAAAAGGATAGAGGATTAGGAACAGAGGAGTAGGAGATACAATATGGTGTTGTATGGCATATCAGAGTCTTCAGCTGAAGAGAGTCATACTGAGAGCAAGGCCAAGGTTCTGGATGTACTTAACACTGCTAGAGAGGTTACGAAATTAGCACCACTATTACCAAGAGACATGGAGAGGGCACGCAGGGGATCTAAGAGAAAATCAGATTCTAATAGGCCCCTGTTTTTGTGAGAATGTTGCATTGGGAGGACACGTGGCATAGTGTAAAAATGAGGGATATTGTAAGGGAGAATGGAACTGGCATCGCCAATGACCTCGCAGCAGCACAGAGACAAAAGCTTTCTAGAGACGCGAACATTCTAGGACAGAAGGTTTATCTTTAAGGGGAATAAGCTGCTGGATGAACCAAGAGAGATCACATCTAATGAGACCTCCACTGATATCTCTAGAGAGAACACCTCCTCCCAGGGCAACAGCAGCAGTCAACAGCAACAGCCACAACAACAACAACAACAACAGCAGCAGCAACACCATCAGTACACTTCGTCGTTCCTCCAGGACACAAAACCGACATCACATCGTTGTGAAGACAATAGTGATATGCCTAAGGAAAACCATATTATATCAGCTGAAGACATATATTTTATATTTTGGAACATATCAGGTATTATACATAGACTCTGTGAATCTGACTTTATTAGATACCTATTTGATATAATACGTTTAACTGCGACTTGGGCAGATGACTTAGATTTAGAACATGTGTTTCCAGACTTCTTTTCTATTTCCAAACATGCAGAACGAATTTCTAACTATGGCAGACTATCTGGTGGAACATCTGTCTGATAAGGAAAGAATTTGAGAAGTTTGTACTGTGGTTAATATTACTGTAAATGATGTATGTATTATGTTTCAAAAACAGTTTGGTTTAGATCGTGATCTGTTATATTCATGTGCTTATGTACACCAAGAATCATCTACCTGATACAACACACCATCATTATCTTGTTAAAATGGTATCAGTATGTTTCAAGAGTCTCCTAGATATACTTGCTGATGTTTATGAAGATGTTTATATCTTATGCGGTGGAGACTTCAATGCACGAACAGGTACAGAGGCAGATTTTGTTGGAGATGATCTACTTGAACAAGTTGAAAATCAAAACTTTTCAGTACTAAATTCTATATGCGATAATTTTAATCTAAGACGTTATTCTCCCGATAAGATAATGAACAACTTTGGTAGATATTTCCTTGATTTAAAGCTGTGCTGTACTGAACATGCACATAATGAACGGGCGATCTGGCTCCGACTCTAAGATTGGTAATAACGGTGCAAGTGTGGTAGACTATATTATCTCCTCTGTATCTCTGTTTGATTATGTAACCGACTTTGCGATACCTCCTCGAACTGAATCAGCACATCTCCCGGTCACTATGAAATTACGTGCGCTTTATATTGGAGAATCATGCACATGTACACATAACAAAAATATAATAATGCTTTCAAATTTGTTTGGGATAATGACAAACTTGAATATTTTAGACAAAAGATTTTATTAGATTCTGTGCAAAACGTCTTAGACAAGTCAGTCGAAAGTGCGTTTACATGTATTGATACTAGCATTGACTTTATTGTAGACGCCCTTTGTCTAGCAGCATCAGATATGAAAAGAAAGTGTGGAAATATGTCTATCAAAAAATATATCTAATGCCTTTTGCCTATTATAAAGAGAAACAGAATAAAATAGCAAATAACATTAATGACTCCAAAAGGTTTTGGTACGAATTGAAATATTTAAATAGAAAGCTAGTTACAAAAAGCAATATCCAAACCCAAGAGTGGTTTCACCACTTTAGAACACTGTTTTCTGGTGAAAATGTAGATACTGAGAGAAATACTGAATGTGATGGCCATGATGTTTTGTTAAATGATGACCCAAACAGTGACCTTACAAAAGAAATTCTTTACTCTCCAATATCCAGAGAAGAGATCTGAGATAGCATAAACAACTTTAAACTCAACAAATCCCCAGGAATAGACGATTTAATTCCAGAATTTTAAAAGTATTTTGCTGATCTTCTACTACCTTATCTTGAGTTAATTTTAATCTGATATTAGAGAGAGGGACATTTCCTACCGCCTGGTCTGTTGGGATAATAGTTTCTTTACACAAGCAAGGTAATTTGAACAATGTTGATAACTACAGGGGAATCACACTGTTAAGCATATTTAGTAAAGCTTTCACCTCAATCATCAACCTAAGATTAATATTTTGGGGAGAAACAATGAATAAATTAAATGAATCTCAGGCTGGATTAACAATTGATAACATTTTAATATTACAGAGTGTGATACAAAGATATTTAACTACTCAAAGTGGCAGGTTATATGCATTGTTTGTTGCATTTTTCTAAAGCATTTGATTCTGTGCAAAGACATAAGCTATGGAGACTATGTAAGACAAATGGGCTTAGCCTCAAAATGACCAGTCTGTTAACTCACATGTATGAGAATGTTAAAGCTTGTGTCAGGAATAACACTGTACTCTCTGAAACTTTTGATGTACTTATTGGAGTAAGGCAAGGTTGTGTACTCAGTCCTTTTTTGTTTTCCTTCTTTATAAATGAACTAGAAGTACAGAAAATAATTGTTCACATGGTATCCAGTTGCATCCTGATATGTTTCATCGTTTCCTTTCATTATTTGCAGATGATGTTGTTCTCATCTAAAGCACTATTAATGGCCTACAGAAGCAAATTAACTAACTAAAAACTACTGAAAAAATCATGTCTAACTGTAAATATGGATAAAACGAAAGTAGTCGTTTTTTAAAAAAAGGGTGAAATTATCAAAAAAGGAAAAATGGTTTATAAAGGCAGAACTATAGAGACTACGACTTCATAAATACCTTGGTGTATATTTCACTAATCATCTGTCATGGTTGGTACATGCAAAATATGCATCTGTTCAAGCACGAAAGGTATTGATAGGTATATTGAGAAATGTAAAAGTACTCTGGGATTTAAGTCTAACATCCTTTTTTGAATATTTGATGTTAAAATCAAACCGATTCTACTGTATGGTGCTGAAATATGGGGATTTTAAATACTTTGATTCCATAGAAAAGGTACATTTATTTGCCTGGAAGAAATTTCTCGGGGTAAAGATGAGCACATCAAATGTTACGGTATATGGGGAATGTGGCAGATACCCGCTCAACTTATCTTCACAAATCAGGGCGATTAAATATTGCATAAGGTTATTAAGTATGCCATCCTACCGTGTACCGAAAAAATGCTATAATATGATGTTACTATATGACAAAGAAGGTAAAAAGTATTGGTTAACAGATGTTAAACACCTACTTTTTCAACTGGATTTAATCATTTATGGTATGAACAAAACGTTGAATGTTCGTCTTTGTTTCTAAATACATTCACGTAAAGATTAAAAGATATTTACCAGCAAAAATGGTTGGAAACAATTTCAGTAGCTACAAAATGTAATTATTACTCAATCTTAAAACACACATTTATACTGAACATTATTTATCATGTGTTAACGTTAAGAAATATAGAATAGCTTTAGCTCGTTTGCGTTGTTCATCTCATGAATTATTAATTGAAAAAGGTAGGTTTATGAATATCAAAAGAGAGGATAGAATATGTAGATGTTGTAATAATACTGTTATAGAAGACGAATATCATTTTCTTCTACTATGCCCAGCATAAAATACTATCCGTAAAAAATATATTAAAGAACTCTATTTTGTCCATCCATCTATCGATAATGAATTTGTAATTTAAAATGTTGCGGTTTTCATTTAGCAAGCAATGTTGATTAGAAAATTGTATATATGAAATGTACTATATATAGGCCTGTGGCCTCCTCAGTACTGAAATAAAGATTGATTGAATCGTCATACTGAGGCGGAAGGAACCTCCTCATTGGGATGAAGCTCTCTCCCCAGTCGGGGTTTGCAAGGTTGTTACAACTACCGTCCGCTGACCGGAACTTGTCATTGGCGTTACACTCCACAGAGCTGGGACAACTGCTACTGACGTTGACGAAAAATTCATGATCATTACACCAACTTGAACTTTAAAGAACTATCGTCAGGCTGATCTCTTACAAGACTCAAGGAGGCAGTAGAAATCATCAATAAGAGTTTGTTTGCGGAATTTAAGATCACGTACCCACATCATATCCCATAGCTGTTTAATTCAAGGGTGAAAATATCAACTAAACTTACTCATCAACATTTGATGTTCTTGAAAATAGCTTCTCTCTGTAGAGTTGGCCGAGTCTGACTGATGTCGGTTTTGTCGATGTGAAAGATGCATGTTGTTCCGTGGTTGAAGTTCCTCCAAGTCGGTCAACACCTGTAGTTATAACATGCATTCAATTTCACAGGCTGAACATATGCACGCCAATTTTCTTTTCAGGATATGATATATTAGACGTCTTATTCTTCTCAGACTTATTTATTACACCTGTATCCAAGACTTTGCTTTTTAAGGTACTCTACGATCTTAATGACTAGGTTCAGCCAGCTGAATTCTTACGTCACAGGGAGTTCACTTAGTTAAATATTTTATGGCTATTTTTAAGGTATTCGATCCAATTTATATATAGATCAATAACTTGACCAACATTACAACGAAAAGGTTTGATTTCCAAAACGCCGGACGGTAACCGATCTGTTTATTATTAATGTTACTTCATATATTAAATCTTTTATTTATATTCATATATATGTAAATGTAATATCGGCGTGGGTCAAGGCTGTGTGTTATACCCATACCTTTTCCAACATATATTTAGTCGATAGACAAAACACATTTATCCGGGTATTCACCTTTATCTAGAAATAATACATTTTTGAAGATATCAATGACATTCTTTCTGACAACACATTTGGTCTCAAACTGCGATTAAGTTTTGGAAAAAATATGTAAAATAAAAAATTTTGATTATCAATTTAGGCAAATCTGTAAGCGTTTTCGTTTTAAAAGGATAGTCTTTAAGAATTTGACGAACTTGCAAACCGGATCAGGTCTGACAGCTGAAGCAACTGAACCATGTTTGTGGAATTATCAATTGAAATTCTGAGCGAGGTTCGAGGGTGAGTAGTGTATCCACATCCACTAAATATGTTGCCAGGTACAATAAGCGAATTCTCTGTGAGTCTTCTGTCTTGGGTAAACCATGTCAAGATTCTAAAACATTTTGGTGTATATAAGACCATATGTGAGACGTATTGTTGGTACTGACCTGCTTCCAAGTACTCCCTGTCTTTCTGTATTTCAGCTGAAACCAGCTCTTCACCAGTGAGCTGAACCGCAAAGGTTCCCTCCTTTTGACAGAGAAAGACCAAGAGGAGGAGGAGCAGTCTTGGAGCCATGTCTCTGAAGAAAGATTGATTTTATGCGAACTAAAGGTAAGGGCTCATGGACATTTGGGAGGATGTTCTGTATAGAATTGCGTGGTCAGTCTACACTACAAGAAAAAAGGAAGGAAGTTTTGTATTAACCACGCATCTATCAGTAAGGGACCTATTTGCGCTCCACAGAAGTTTACCGTAATTTAAAGGCAAAGCAAATAAGTGTATAGATTATCTACAGAATACAGTTACATCTGGTTTACCATAATGTACAGGACAGGTTGTGACCCATAGAATACAATTCTGTCTCGATTATCACTGGTGAATCTCTATGTATAGGATAAGTTATGGCTTACATGGTAAGTTATTCTCACTTACCATTGCTTTACCGTAGTAAACTTAATAAAATAATATACAGAATCCGTTTTCGAACCCGGGCATTCGGCGTGACGAGCGAACGCTTTAACCACTAGGTTACCCCACCGCCCTCTTTTATATCTAATCGTAACGAAGAGTATATAGTGTTTTCTTCCATCTCACCCTAATCTACAAGAAAATGTTTCTCTTTAATATGAATCTTGTAATGGTACTAAAGTTCAACTTGTGAAGTTGAAAAAGGAAAGATAAAAAAGCCGACATAGCCACTGGTGAACACAGCATGACATGTAAAGTTTGTGATATATTATAGATAAAAATATAGACATGTCTTACCTCCGTATGCCCTTGCTACTGCTTTCAGGAACAGCCGCTCAGAGTACAACTCAGCACCCATTATATACCCATTAAGAAAGGTACAATCTTTTTTTATTTTTGCTCCGTATTCTCTGATTGGCTAAGCAACGTGCGGTGTCTTCTTCATGCATATTCATACGATCACGTCAGCTCGATAGTTCTGCTTCCGTGATTTCATATGCGTTTTATATTTGTATGTGTAACAAAAGTATGGATATAAAAACGGGTTTTATTCAAATCACCTCAATACTAGAAAGATAAGGTAATATGGCAGTGTGTTGTGTGTATACGTTACGAAGAAGTATATGGTAATATAGTTGTAAATAGTGTGTATAAATGTCGAAGAGGGAAGTGGTAATATGGCCGTATGTAGTGCGTGTAGATGAAGAAGAGTGAGTGAGTATGGTTTTACGCCGCTTTTAGCAAAATCACGGCGGTGATGAAGAAGAAAGACATGGTAATGTGGTTGTGTGTAGTGCGTTTAGATGACGAAGAGAGAAGTGGTAATATGGTTGTGTGTTTTGCGTATATATGACGACGAGAGAAATGGTAATACTGTCGTGTGTAGTGTGATGGTAATATTGTTGTGTGTAGTGTGTATAGATGAAGAAATATATGGTAATATGGTTGTGTATAGTGTGACTAGGTTGTAATATGGTTGAGTGTAGTATGTCTAGATGGTAATATCGTTGAGAACAGTGTGTCTAAATTGTAATATGATTGAGTGCAGTGTTTAGATTGTAATATGGTTGAGTGTAGTTCGATGTCCCACATGGGTACAATTTGTGTGAAGTCTAATTGTAATATGGTTGAGTGTAGTGTGTCGTATATTGCTGAATATGGCTAAGTGTAGTGCGTGTCTAGATATATGGTTGGAGTGTATATTTAATATGTTGACTCAGTCAGTTGAGTGTAGTATGTCTAGATGGTAATATCGTTGAGAACAGTGTGTCTAAATTGTAATATGATTGAGTGCAGTGTTTAGATTGTAATATGGTTGAGTGTAGTGTGTCTAGATTGTAATATGGTTGAGTGTAGTGTGTCTAGATTGTAATATGGTTGAGTGTAGTGTGTCTAGATTGTAATATGGTTGAGTGTAGTGTGTCTAGATTGTAATATGGTTGAGTGCAGTGTGTCTAGATTGTAATATGGTTGAGTGTAGTGTGTCTAGATTGTAATATGGTTGAGTTGAGTGTAGTGTGTCTAGATTGTAATATGGTTGAGTGCAGTGTGTCTAGATTGTAATATGGTTGAGTGTAGTGTGTCTAGATTGTAATATGGTTGAGTGTAGTGTGTCTAGATTGTAATATGGTTGAGTGTAGTGTGTCTAGATTGTAATATGGTTGAGTGTATAGTGTGTCTAGATTGTAATATGGTTGAGTGTAGTGTGTCTAGATTGTAATATGGTTGAGTGCAGTGTGTCTAGATTGTAATATGGTTGAGTGGAGTGTGTCTAGATTGTAATATGGTTGAGTGTAGTGTGTCTAGATTGTAATATGGTTGAGTGTAGTGTGTCTAGATTGTAATATGGTTGAGTGTAGTGTGTCTAGATTGTAATATGGTTGAGTGTAGTGTGTCTAGATTGTAATATGGTTGAGTGTAGTGTGTCTAGATTGTAATATGGTTGAGTGAGTGTAGTGTGTCTAGATTGTAATATGGTTGAGTGCAGTGTGTCTAGATTGTAATATGGTTGAGTGCAGTGTGTCTAGATTGTAATATGGTGTGTTGTCTAGTGTAATATGGTTGTGTCTAGATTGTAATATGGTTGAGTGCAGTGTGTCTAGATTGTAATATGGTTGAGTGCAGTGTGTCTAGATTGTAATATGGTTGAGTGTAGTGTGTCTAGATTGTAATATGTTTGAGTGTAGTGTGTCTAGATTTGTAATATGGTTGAGTGCAGTGTGTCTAGATTGTAATATGGTTGAGTGCAGTGTGTCTAGATTGTAATATGGTTGAGTGCAGTGTGTCTAGATTGTAATATGGTTGAGTGTAGTACCAGGAACAATCTTGGTATCTCCGATCACCAGATTCTATCAAGACTTAGGGATGTAATCCTGCAACATTAATTGCACACGTGCAGTGAATCGATCCAAAGCTGGTGGAGGTGCATACACTGAGGGGCAAAAGAAACGATACCAAACTTTAATGGGGGACAAATTGGATTTGAACTCAGACTTTTAAGGTGGTTTGGAACAGAAAACCTTCGCACGAACGCAACTGAAACGGACCTGCGCCAAAATACATGCATTTGGAAATGGAAAGTCATGAAAAATGCATTTGACTGGCAATTTTTCATGCACGTGCAAAATGACGTGCATGGGTCGTATTGAGTATAAAAGCACATGGAAATGTTCGCCAGTATTAGATTGCAACGTTAACATCATCGACCATGCCAAGATTAACAGCAGAGCAAAGAGAACGGGCACTTGGTATGATCCAGCTTGGTGCGACCCACGACCATGCTGCCCGAATCTTCAACTGTATCCGTTTGACGATCACCAGGCTTATGGCACGTTACAGGCAAACAGGCAGAACGTCGGACAGACCCAGGAGGTGGTAGGCCGCCCGTCACGACCGCCGCTGAAGACCGCTACCTACGTGTGTTTACACTTACGTAACAGGTTCCTCACGGTGACGTCATCGGCAGAGACAGCGCTCGGCCATCGTGTCAGCAGACGAACGGTGTCTAGGAGGCTACGTTTGCACGACCTTCGCGCCTACCGACCCTTCCGTGGCATAGCACTGAGCCGTCAACATCGACGTGAACGTCTGAGATGGGCACGCCAAGTTGCAGGCTGGCAGAACAGGCAATGGGCTCGGTACTCTTTACAGATGAGAGCAGGTTCCACCTTAACAGACCAGACGGCAGGATACGGGTACATCGACGCAGAGGTGAACGTACTGCACGTTGCTGCGTACAAAGTGGAGCCCTACGGCGGTGGCAGCGTCATGGTTTGGGGAGGCATAATTGGAGACAGAAAGAGACAGACTTGGTGATCGTAGACGGTAACTTGAATGGTCAAAGGTACATCGACGGCGGGTTCTCCGACCAGTCGTCTTGCCATTCCTGCAGCAGAACCCCGAACTGTCTTCCAACACGACAATGCTCCATGCCATACAGCACAGCGCGTTAGGGGAGTTTCCTTAACGCTAACAACGTTCACGTCTTACCATGGCCAGCACGTTCCCCTGACCTCTCCCCATTGAGCACCTTTGGGACCATCTTGGGAGGCAAATTCGCGCCAGACCACATCCGCCTCGCCAACAGGAGAGCTCTTGCCAGAGCACTGCAAGACGAGTAGAACAGGATCCAACGTCCGGTGATCAGACGTCTGACGTCATCTGCCCGACGTCGAGTTCGAGCCTGTATCGATGCTGGAGGAGCACACACTCGATACTGACTCTAACTTGTGGTAAAATGTGCTCAAATGACTGTTTCAGTGGGACTGTGTAAACTTGTACGTGATCGAATACTGGACAATCGACCCCACCCTCTTTAATTGTTGAATATCTGTACCTTCTTTGGTTATGACTGTATGAATTTACGATATGTTGTAGTTGTTTGATTGTTCTGAAAATATAAATTGTCACCTTATGCTTATGACGTCTTGTTTTTTCTCACGTTGTGAAATTTACTTGGTATCGTTTCTTTTGCCCCTCAGCGTATACCCTGTAATGCATTCAGACTGTTAGAAAAAACCTTGTTTTTTTCTGTTTGTTAGATGTATGTATAGGTTCATTTCAGTCTGTTCTTTTGATGCAACAGTATGCTCCATTTGCGCCATGAGATACCGAGAACACATCCTGTTGCTGTGCTTGACCTACATAGATTTGGTTAGCCTCTGAATTAAACCATCTGAAGTGAAAACTCATCGAAAAGGAATGTACCCCTAAAATGTAACTAGATATTACCTGAAGCGACACCCGACAGGAGAGTGAATGAGAGTGATCAGTTTCAGAATAGATATATTTTTAACTGAACAACGTCAATGTCTCTATGACGTGGCTATGCTGTAAAAAGGAGTGACACTAAACGAATTTGCAGGATACTATAATGTTCACCAAATCTCCATCTGGGGCGTTATCTGCATAACCCATAACTTGCACAGGTCAGTCAAGGACAACCCTATTCGGTTGATGCATCCTTCTGAAACGACACCAAACTGTCAGATTAACACCTCGGATAATTGCGTCTGTTTCCGCTACATAGAACTTGTTTGGAATGAGATTGAACGACGTCTATGACAAAACCAGCACTTACTGATAACGCTAGCTGATTTGAGTCAGTCTACAGTGCATGTTTAGCCTGTATAAACGTAAATGGTGGCCACGTCCGATACTGACATTTTTAATTGCGTTGTTGTTACACCCCTCCTCTGTGTGACCGTGAAGATCCGGGTTTGAATTGGTCTTCAGCAAGAAAAGAGTCGAGCAACGGGATTGTGTGGTCAGCATCAGTGACTTTGTTGATGTCATCGTATCCCAAGACATCTTGACTATTGTTGAGTGAGGCTTTGAACAACAAACAAACAAACATACTTTTAGGGTGTGTCGTATTTTCTCCTGTAACCAAATACGTATTTTTTCAATGAATATATCATGACAAAACAATAAACATAATAGGCAAAATATCATTTTTTTCATTTTCATTAGCATTGAAACTACTTTATATTAGGCATAGTTCCATAAGTATTCATCTGCCAAGTGTCAAAATCAAAGCGATTTGGTGTATAGAATATGATAAAAACATCGTGCATGTCATATGGTATAACAGTCCTCAGCCTAAGAATGTTCAATTTTCACAACCCTATTCGCTAGTCATACGTTTTTTGTGTGACTTTGAACGTCAATGGCTAGGAGGCCAGGTTGAAGACTTAGCTAGAACGCAAGGAGAAACGTCGCTTCAGCTAGGAGTCTAAGAGAAACACCACATCGGCTAGTAGGCTAAGAGGAACACCACTTTAGCTAGGAGGGTAGTTTGAACACCACTTCCAGTTAGGAGGCTGTGAACATTGCACCCAGCACTAGGAGGAACAGCAGCTTGGAGGCTGGTTT